TGTGTGTGGCTGAATGTGAGCATTGCTTTGCTGACTGGAAGACATCTTCTGCCTCCATTTATCTGTTTACTACAGTTGGAATGTGGATTTAAAGACATTTACATTAGTCGAATATTAAAGAGGCAGAATACAAAAAAAAAAGTCGAATCCACCAAAATTTTCGCGACCCCCATGCAGTACCACCTGGACCCCCTAGGGGTTGAGAACCCCTTGTTGAGGACATCCGCTTTAGGGAATACTCGGTCACAAATCTGACTTTCCATGAAACCTCTACGGCAGAGGTGCGATCTACCAGTCGATCTCTAAGGTGCTATCGGTAGATCGCATGACAAGGTGAGGCGACATTGTCATGAACTGACGCTATACAAATAAAGTTGAGTTGTTTTGAATAAAAACTAGACGTCAGCCTATCAGCAATCCCGTCACTTGATTGATACACAGGACAACCAGTCAGATGACATCTGATTTTTTTCCGTACAATCAGGTCACTGTGCGCCGCTAAGCTAACAAGCTAGTCCTTAGTTACATCCTAATTTTTCGCTCGGTTTTTTCCTCTTAAACGTAAGATAGGTTATGAAAATGAGTGGGGGAGCTGGACCAAGTAAGAAGAAAAACACGTATCACTTTCATACGGAATGGGAGGAGTAATCAGAGTAATGGCAAAAAATTTACATAATTATGTTGTGTTGTGCAACATATGTGGTCATACATCAACATAAGCTGTAAGAATCCTCAATATATTTCTCAATAAATATAACGGGTAGATCATTTTGACTTGGTCATTTCAAAAGTAGCTCCCATGCTGAAAAAGTGGGAGCACCCCTGCTCTACGGCATCGTTCCGGGACTCTGGAGGAAAAATCCCCCAAAGAATAAGAACAACCTTTGGACAAACCGTTCTATCAGTCAGAGGGGGTCACTTCTGGAACAGCCTCCCAACAAACATCAGGGAAGGTCCCACTCTTTACACATTTAAAAAGCACCTTAAACTGTTTCTCAAAAGTTCCCAGTCATGCAATCACTCATTTTAATTTTGTGATGTCATTGTCTGAACGTGTGTCTGTGTGTTTTAACTGATATTGTATTATATGATTTTGTGTTGTTTTGTTTTACTGCAACTATGCTAGAATCTGGCTCATTTACAATCTGTATGAGATTGTTCATTAATGTGCACTGTACTGATTAAATAAATAAGTTGTAAGAATCCTCAACATATTTCTCAATAAATATAACGGGTAGATCATTTTGACTTGGTCATTTCAAAAGTAGCTCCCATGCTGAAAAAGTGGGAGCACCCCTGACGTAGATTAATCCATTATTTGGGATCTGCAGCAGTTAAAGGAGATTCACTCAGCTCCTTTAACCCTTTAAAGCCCGATTCAAGAAAGATAGGAAGAATATTGGATTTTTTTTAGTCTGAAGTCTTTGATCAGCTTTCCAAAAGTGGGAGCACCCCTGCTCTACGGCATCGTTTTCGGGACCCCGGAGGAACAAAATCACCTGTGTTTTTGTCCGCTTCAAATGAGATCTGAGGTCCGGGGCTGTCCTTGTCGGTCAGCATGGTGGATCCGTCCACGCCCTCCTCGTCGGTGTCGGTGCTCTGCTCTCCGTCCGAGGGAACCTCGGCGTCCCCCGATGGTGAGGCCTGGTCCATATCTCCCCCCCCCCCTAGCCGCCAACGCCATTTCGGGGGAGAATGGCACCAGCCCGGCCTTGATGGCGTGGGCGTGCGACTTTCGGTGCTTGTAGAGGTTGCTCTTGGTCTTGAAGGAGAACCCGCAGGGTATGCAGGGGTAGGGTCTCTCGCCGGTGTGCGATCGGATGTGCTTTTTAAGGACGCTGGGTTTGGCGCACGCCCGGCCGCAGTAGTGGCAAATGTACTTGCCGGGCTTCTTGGGTTTGGGGTCCTTCTTGCCGTGGCCGTGGCCGTGGTCTTCCCCGCGATCCGAACCGGACTGGGAGTACTGGGAGTACTGGCCGAAGGAGCCGGGCAAGCTGGGCGACTTCTGGCGTTGGGGGAAGCGGCCCGGCTGCTGCCCCCCCCCTACCGCCGGGTAGGGGTCGTCCGAGGGAAGCTGGCCGGCGAAAGGCCAGGCGTGGGGCTCCAGGCCCGGTTGCGGTTTGGCCCCCGATACGAATCGCTCCGCCTGGGGGTGCCGGGGGTACGGCTGGCCCAGTTGGTAGGGGTACCCCCTCGGGAAGCCCTGCGCAAACGGGCCCTGGGGGTCCTTCCCCGCGGCCGAGGGTCCGTACTTCTGTTGGGGGGCCGACCCCCCCGTGGCGCCGCACGGTAGACTCTCCCGGTGTTTCACGTCGGGGTCGGAAAAAGTGCATCGTTTGGTGTTGGCGGAAGGCTCCGACGCCCATTTTCTCTGCAGGGGGGCCTTGTCTTTCCCTAGTAGTTCCTTGTTTGTTGAGCCCTTTTGCTGCCCTGTGGTGGGTGATTCCATCTTTGAGGGAGGGAAGGGGGGTGAGGGGTAAGGGGTGGGGGGGGGGGGGGGGGGGGGGGGGTTACAAGGTCCCAACACTACCGGGCATGGTAGCTGAACACACGTCCATCTCTGAATCAGACCGAGAGGGAGAAGGAAATGGAACTCAAGGGGGAGATTCGTCGGGTGACATCAGAGAGGCGTCGCTCCTTCGGCCATTTTTGCGAAAAGCCGGAACGTCCCCGTGAGTATTTTTTTTCTACTCCAACGGCAGCAGAATCCTCAAATTATCTGAAGAGGAGACAAAAAAAAGAGGCCGAGGAAGGGTTAAAAGCCTTTTCAAGCAAGTGGTGTGTGAGAAAATAGCATTTTAATTATCTTAATCAACAAAATGGATGTAACTGAACACATTAACGGCTATCAAAACAAATGACTTTTCATTAAGGGAATTCTTATTAATTATGTGGAGTGTTTATTTCACTGCACATTTATGCCTTCTGCTTCTGATTCTGAAAAAGTGAAAGCTACCTAAATGACTCATCCAGACAGAGTGGCCCATTTGACAAGTACGGCAAGTCTATGAGTCCAAACACGGAAATACCACTCACACAAACCGGTCCACAGTCAGAACTAGTGTGTTTTTCCGGGAAAGAAACCCAGATACAGCGACACTAGCAGCTTTTTCAGCTGCTTCTTTGGTTTCTTTAGCATAAAAAAGTCCTAATTATGAAAAGAAATGAACACTTTGGACTTCGAATGGACTTGAATGCGAGGTGTATAGGCAGAAATATCCTTATTGTTAGGGCTAAAATACATGAATGGACGTACGTTTTCACGTATTTGTAGGATCTCTGAGTCAGGATCTGTTCCATTTTTCTAATTCAGCACATTCACAGGTTGATTACGAATAGTCAAAGGATAAATACCGACTTTTCTCTAAGGAACAGTGCTTGTAGATCCTCTCTGCAGTTTCAGAAGTCATTCAGAACCAGTGTCTTTTTCTGGGTAAGAAACCCAGATACAGCGACACTAGCAGCTTTTTAAGCTACTTCTTTGGTTTCTTTAGCATTAAAAAGTCCTAATTATGAAAAGAAATGAACACTTTGGACTTCGAATGGACTTGAATGTGAAGTTTTTAGACAGAAATATACTCATGAATATAAATAAGTTGTCACGTGGTGACAACTTATGAAGGTGAGGTTTTTAGGCAAAAACATCCTCATTCTTAGGGTTAAGATACATGAATGGACGTAGGTTTTCACGTATTTATAGGATCTCTGAGTCAGGATCTGTTCCATTTTCCTAATTCAGCACATTCACAGGTTGATTACGAATAGTCAAAGCATAAATACCGACTTTTCTCTAAGGAACAGTGCTTGTAGATCCTCTCTGCAGTTTCAGAAGTCATTCAGTTTTCATTCAGCAACGAAACACGAGAGGAAACGCGAGTCAGAGCGACGAAACTCGATCCAGGAAGACTCTGCGTGACGTTTGGGGAGGAAGGACTCCCACAGCCCC